CTCCATTGTAATTATGTAAGGAAAATTGTATTTACCCATGTGATATCGATTCTTATTCTTTTACTTTTAACATTTTGGTTAAAAATTTTGTTTGCCATATTAACATTATCATTCAATTAATCATTTTGGATCAGAAACTAGTGAGATGAGAGGTAGAGAGAGAGAGAGAGCTCTGGGACGGAGAACACAAGGAAGATGGACAGCACAGCCAAATGAGAGGTTCAGATTTCACAATGGGGGACGAAACCAACAAGAGGTGGGAGGTTATGACAAGAGGGTCTACAATCAGGCAACTCCCTTTTTCTTCACAAACTTTCCAGAGGAATGGTCATTTGAGCAGATGTGGCTCACTTTCAACAGAATAGGCCAAGGTAGGGTGCTGGAGATCGACTGTCCGGCGAAGAGAGATAGGATGGGAAGACGTTTTGGTTTTGTTCGGTTTCTAGATGTGAGGAATGAAGGTGAACTAGAAAGAAGATTAAATGAAGTAAGAGTAGGAAACCAAGTCCTACAAGCAAACAAACCAAGATACACGAAGTGGGATCGTCAGAATAATCTGTTCCCTAGAACCCATTTTGAGGATGGTAACTGGAGACAACAAAGCATCAATGGTAATGATAGAAAACCATCATATGCTGAGGTAGTAAAAACAGCCACCAGTAGGATGGAGGAAAGACCCATAAATGAAAGAAGGAAAGTAGGATTAGCTCAGAGATATGGAAGCAACAATGGCAGCGTCTACGGAAACCAGCAAAAGGAATGGAAGCCAAAACACCAGCACCATCATTGGTCAGGTATGGAGTTGAACTTCGATCTAGAAGAATATGGTTGGCTGGAAAAATGTTATGTAGGCACAGTGCATTCAGTGAACCTAATACCCAATTTGCAAGAGAAATTCTTCATGGAAGGGGTATTCTTCTGCAATATTAGACCAATGGGAGGCAGATTAGTGTTATTAGAAGGCAAGGATCATGAAGATCTGAAGGAGCTGGTAGATACTGGAAAAGACTGGATGGGAAACTGGTTCGAAGACGTGAAGCCGTGGTCACCTACTTTGGTAGCAACGGAGAGGTTCGCTTGGATCCGATGCCAGGGACTCCCACCGCATGCTTGGAAATTGGCAACCTTTCAAACTTTTGGAAGTCTATGGGGAACCTTAATATCTCTGGATGATAGTACCATCAATAAGAAAAGGTTTGATGCAGTAAGGTTCTTAATCACCACACCATCCACAGAATCTATATCCAGGTCAATCACAGTGAAGATCAATGGTGAATTCTTCACTCTCAAATTCACAGAAGAGGAGTCTACAAATAACCTCTTCACTATGAGGTCTGATAGAAAATTTCAAGCACCTAGAGAAGAGGAAGATGAAGAAAACAGCCCCTTAGACAGTCAGTATGACGATGACTCGGACCTGGAGAAGAACATATGGAATCAATTTGAGCCTCAGATAATGGGGGTTGAAGGCGAAGGGGCTCAGGATTCCATGGAAGAAGATGCAGCAACACCTTTCACGGGGGAAGGTAACGAGTTTGAGGTGGCGTGCCATAATGCTGAGGTGGCGAGCCATAACGCTGAGGTGGAGAGACACAGTGCTGAGGTGGAGAGGCATAGTCTTGAGATGGACAGTCACGGGGCCGAAGGAAACAAAAGGAAGAAGCTCGAGACAGTTGACGTAGCCAGTACAGATGCCGAGGTAGTTGAGGAAACAGAAGGGATGGAGGAAATCAGGACGGGGATCCTAGTTTCAAATTCAAATTTTCAAAGAGTGGTAGAATCAAGAAAGATTGAGGAAGATCCAGATCTCGTGCAGAATAAAGCTGAGCAACAGATGTTCGAAAATGGCAGTCAATTGAGCACCAACGCAGACATGGGCAGTCATGGCAAGTCTCATCAAAATAGTATAAACAAAGCAAAAGAAGACAACAGGAGCTGCAAAAGTAAAGCAAGCCAAAGAAGTTAGATTTGGGCTACCAACAAAAGATGTGGGTCCAGTAGAGAATATTGGGCTGAGGGACCCCCAACCAACCGACTTACAAGGGCCAACAAATTCAGATCCAGAGGAGCAGATTGAGAAGCCCAACAACAGACCCATAGCAAAAAACAAGAAGCCATCGTCTTCATTTTGGGACGACCTGGAAAGTGATTCAGGCACCGATGCGAACTGGATGAGCAGGGTAGATGGGTGCGGGAAAAGAAAAAAGAAGAGAAGAGCAAAATCTTGTGCATCGGTATACAGAAAATCTGGGGGTTTGGAAGGCTTCCTGGTTCAGCAAAAATTGAAAGGACAGAGAAGAGCAGTTGCCAAGACAAAGAAGAAGGTTACGTTCGAGAAAGATGCAGAGAAGTCGGTTGCAGATGTTTCGATCAACGACAGTAACATCCAGAACTGCAACAAAAACATAGAGCTGAGCAGTAGAAAACGGAACATGGAAGCTTTGTGGTCTCGGGTGAAAGAATTTGGGGTGACTGCTCAAGGTGATGAGGCTTCGGTGATACAGAAATTGAATGAGATGGAACGCCGAGACAGAGAAAAATGGAAGAAAGAGGAAGATAAAAAGCACAGAAAAGGAGACTAGGTGATGCTCTACCTTCCATGATTTTATTGTCTATCAATATTAGAGGATTAGGGGGGATTGGTAAAAAAAGGGAGATTCGGGAATTGGTTACCAAACAGAAAGTAGATGTTTTGTTTATTCAAGAAACTAAAATGGAGAAAGTAGACAAATGTTTATGTAGAATGGTTTGGGATGCTGATAATTTTGATTGGGTTGCTCAACCTGCTATTGGCGCATCTGGAGGAATTTTAATTATTTGGAATTCTAATGTGTTTAAGAAGATTGGTTGCCTAGAAGGAGTAGGATTCCTGGGAGTTGTGGGGATGTGGGGAAATGAAAATATCCCCTGTTATTTGGTAAATGTATATTCTCCATGTGATTTGGCGAGCAAGAGAATTTTATGGGAGAATTTGTCAAATAAAATCTGCTCCAATAAAGGGAACTGGTGCATAGCTGGAGATTTTAATGCCATTAGAAATCTGCAAGAAAGGAAAGGAGGTATAAGTGTAAGGAGGGAGTTGAAGGAATTTAACGAGTTTATTGAGTTGAGTGGGCTGGTAGACCTCCCTATGATAGGGAGAAAATTCACTTGGTACCAGCCGAATGGTAATTGCATGAGCCGCTTGGATAGATTCTTATTTTCTGAGGAATGGTTGCTCAACTGGACAGATTTGAAGCAATGGGGGTTAGTGAGGTCACTGTCAGACCATTGCCCAATTCTGGTGAAGGATGAAACACGCAATTGGGGCCCAAAACCTTTCAAATTTTACAATGTGTGGCTGCAAGATCCAGCATTTAAAGAAATGTTAGAGAAACAATGGAAAAGCTTTAACATCCAAGGGTGGGGAGGCTTTGTGCTCAAAGAAAAATTTAAGCTATTGAAAAATAGTTTGAAGGACTGGACCCGGAATCATGCACAGGGGATTGACAAACAAATTGAGGAAGCAAAAGAGAAGATAGCCAAACTCGATTGTAAAGGGGAAATCCAGCAGCTCAGTGAGGAGGAAGACACTCTCAAAAGGGATCTAATGATATCGCTATGGGAAAATATTCAAACAAAAGAAGAAATGGCAAGACAAAAATCAAGAATGACGTGGATGAAGGAAGGAGATGCTAATACAAGCTTCTTCCATCGGTGCATCAAAAATAGATGGAGAAGAAACGAAATTAACTCCCTAGTGGTCAACGGGAAGGTGTTGCAAGAAGTAAATGAGCTGAAACAATGAGTGGCTGATTACTTCAGGAATTTATTTGCAAAGGAAGATTGGATAAGGCCAGTCTTGGAGGGCATGGGATTTAACAAAATTTCTGAAGCAGATAAGAAGATTTTAACTGAACCGTTTCTTGAATCAGAGGTGAAAGCAGTGGTGTGGAACTGTGACAGTGCAAAAGCCCCGGGTCCAGATGGTCTGAGTTTCGGTTTCTTGAAAGCAGAATGGGTAGTGGTTAAAGATGATATTCTGAAGTTTTTAGCGGACTTTCATAATAACAGCAAGCTGGTAAGGGGCTCCAATTCATCTTTCCTGGTTTTGATACCCAAAAAGGAGAACCCGCAAGGTCTAGAAGAGTACAGGCCTATCTCTCTAATAGGTTGCATGTACAAAATCCTTGCAAAAATCCTGGCCAACAGATTGAGTAAAGTGTTGAATGGTCTCATAGGTGAACAACAATCAGCATTCATTAGAGGGAGACAACTGGTTGATGGAGTCGTCATTGCAAATGAGACGATAGATGAAATCAGGAAGAAAAAATTGAGCTGTTTCCTATTCAAGGCTGACTTCGAGAAGGCTTACGACAATGTCAGCTGGGAATTCTTAGATTATATGTTGGATAGGATGAATTTTGGTTCGATATGGAAGGGATGGATGCGAGAATGCCTGCAAACAAACTCGGTATCTGTTCTTCTCAATGGTAGTCCCACAAACGAGTTTACTATGCGCAGGGGATTAAGACAAGGAGACCCCTTAGCTCCTTTCTTGTTCCTTATTGTTGCGGAAGGGCTCAATGGGATCATCACATCAGCAGTTGATAAAGCACTTTTCGAAGGGGTCCAAATTGGAAGAGGGGATTTGAGAATTTCCCATTTGCAGTTTGCGGATGACACATTATTAATGGGGAAAGCAACAGAGGAAAACATATGGACCACAAAATGTATTATGAGGGCCTTCGAATTAGTCTCCGGGTTAAAAATAAACTACGGGAAAAGCTCCTTGATTGGAATCAATGTCGATGATCGATGGGAAAAGGAAATGACATGTTTACTGAATTGCAAATCAGGATCCTTGCCTTGTAAATATCTGGGTATCCCGTTGGGAGCAGACCCTAGAAGAATAGCTACATGGAAGTCACTTATCGACACCTTCAAAAGAAAACTGGCTTCATGGAGAGGGCGTTTCCTATCCCTCGGAGGAAGAATAACTCTCATTAATGCTGTGCTGACCAGCCTACCAGTGTTCATAATGTCTTTCTACCTCCTCCCAAAGAGTGTCATAGGTGAGTTAGACAAAATTAGGAGAAGATTTTTATGGGGGGGAGTCGGGGAAAGGAGAAGAATTGCGTGGGTAGCATGGGAGAATATATGTAAACACAAGCTTGAAGGGGGTTTGGGTATCAAAAATCTGTCTTGTTTTAATGTGTCTTTGCTAGGAAAATGGTGGGGAAGATTGCTCATGGAGAAAGGGGGTTTATGGAGAAGAGTCTTACTTGAAAAATACGGGTTTAAAGAAGGGAATTGGCTATCTTATCTAAAGGAGGGTAGATGTCAAGGTTCAAGCTGGTGGAGGGATGTTTGCAAAATAGATGAAGGGGCAGGGGCTAAGAAGAACTGGTTGAGCTCAGGATTTGAAGTGAAAATAGGGGATGGCAGATACACAAAATTCTGGTCGGATGAATGGGTAGGTGGGAATGCATTATCTAACAAATTCCCACGCTTGTTTATGTTATCCACAGGTGAAAGTCACAATGTGAATGACATGGGTACTTGGATAAATGGAAGCTGGCAATGGAAATTATTATGGAAGCGCCAACTGCGTTCATGGGAGGTAGATTTGGAAACAGAACTTCTGGAGTTACTCAGGACAACTCATCTAATGCAGGACAAAGAAGACCAATGGTGGTGGCAACCAGATACCTCCAGAAACTACACATCTAAGTCGGCTTACTCCCATCTTTTAAAGGGCGTCACCAGCAATAATGTTGACTTCAAAAGGCTGTGGAAGGCCCCCATTCCATCCAAAGTAAGTGCTTTCTGTTGGCAATTGCTCCATAAAAAACTTCCTACAAAAGATAATTTAGCAACTCACGGAATATTGAGTGATCAAAACAACCTAAGATGCTGCTGGTGTAATTTATCAAATGAAACACCCGACCACTTGTTTGTGAATTGTAACTTGGCTTCTAGTTTATGGTTGAAATGTTACAAGTGGTGGGGCAAGCATTATGTGTTAGGAAACTCATGTAGGACGGTTATGGAACAACACAAGTGGAATGGGGGTCCAAAATCACTAGATAAAGGGTGGAACATCATTTGGTTTGCAGTAGTATGGACACTTTGGCTGGGTAGGAACGACAGGATCTTCAATGACAAGGAAGCAAAGGCTGAATATTTCTTCCAGCTAGTTCAAACTCGATCTTTTTACTGGGCAAAAAATATTGCAAGATTGGACGGATTCTCTTTAACAAACTGGTGTGAGAATCCAGTTAAATGTTTACAGATCAAAGCCAAAGAGAAAGACAGAGTATGAACTGGACTTTTGGAACCTCACGGTTGTGACATTTTGTATAGAAGCCGGTGAAAAGTTTTCTTTGTAATCGGCAATTTTTGTAAGTAAAGGGTTGGAATACCCCCTGTATTCCATATTTAATAAATTCCTTTGCCTTTCAAAAAAAAAAAAACGATTGCCTCATTTAAAACTGTGAGTTTATAAATATTTATTAATTTAATATTATATTATATTATATACAGTATCATATGTAAAATCATAATATTTATAGTATTCTGAAAAAATAAAAGTTAACTTTATGTTAAATGCAAGGTGAATTAATATTTTTAATTGAGTGATTTGATGTAAGAATATTGAATTTTTATTTAAGCGAGGTCGAAATTTGACATTGTATATGAGCTTTCTACATTAGATTCTCAGGCATAACTGTTAGAATCTTGAATACCTTTCTTGCGTCCAAATTCGACAAAGTCGACCAACATCATTGACGCTAAAGGGAAGGGAATAAGGATAACCAAACGGGTCAGGAATAAGAGATCCACCTAGTCTGACTGATAAAACTTTTTTTTAAAGTCAGCGGGCACCTGCCAAGCTTGCGCTCACTTAAGATCAAAGTGAGAGTGGTAATGGTAAGAAGGGAAATGGAAGAAGTAAAATACCCTTTTTCTGATATCAGTAATGATCAGGGGACAAATTTGGGAAACAAAATTGGGGGACAACAAGTGAAGCAGGGTGAAATTGATAATTTCGTATCATGTAATTCCACCCTATTTCACTTGTCGTTCTTCAATTTCGTCCTCCTGATCATTACTCTTATGATATTTACTATTTGAAAATTTTTGAGTCAATTATTTTTTTTATATTGATTGTATAATGAAAAATAATTATCTTTCATTTATTATCTTATCTCATCCATATATTATGTAATTTAAATTCAAAACTGTTTACTTCCAACGAAAAAAGATGACTATTAAATTATATAGGTTGTTAATATTTTTGAGTCAACTATTAAATATCTTAAAATTAATTCTTTCTTGAGTAATTTTAAAATGGCACATCCTCCGTAGGTATGCTACGTTAAGGTAAAATACCAAAGTTTTATGTAGGTGAAAAAGGAATAAGAGATTAAGAATGAATGGGCTACAAAGCTTATGGATTTTGTCATTGGATGATAAATTGAAATGGGCTCGAATAGGCTACTTTGGATCAAAGCTTCGGCCTGTACTGCTGAAAGTAATCCTCCCTTACTCCCTTCCCTAGCGATGGTGATTGAGAACGTAAAAGCCCAAGACCATCTCCGCTTTCATCTCGATGTTTCTTAAATTGCCTGTTATGGCTCCTGGTATAGGATTTAGGTCACATATTCAAAGTATGAGACTCAGGTGTGGAGTTTACATGACATTGGATTCTTCTACCTGAACAGTTGACTTTTGATGAGTGGTTCTGCTAAGGTTTGTATCATTGCCTCTATTGCTTCCATCTTGGGTGAGACTACGTACGTTATACAAACCTTCCATGATCTCTTTTCTTTTTAATTTCAGCATTAGGTTCAATGTTGCTACTTTAGCTAGATCTTAAAGTTTTTATTTCGATTGCATGCAGTTTTCTATTTACATTTTTTTTTTTTTTTAAAAAAAAGTCTTTTAAAAATTTTGAGTTAACTTCAAGTTTTTTAAGAATCTGATTTTTGAGATTTTCTAACTAGCAATTAGAGCATATTTACTTGAGCTGGAGTTTGGAAGTGCTAATTTTGTAGATTCTATAGATTTTGAGCTTATTTACTTAGCTGAAAGATTTGAAAAAGTAGTGTTGCTTTGATAAATACTTTACAAAAAGTGATAAACCATGAATTCATATAAAATAATTCTAAAAAATTTTAGGAATTTATTAAAACCCTTCAATTTAAAAAAAATTAACAATAAGATCTATTGTGGAAAATACAATTTTATCCTTGATTTCATATTTATTTGAATGGTTTTATGTGATTTGTTTGGTTTTATTATTTTAGTTATAAGATTTTTATTGTTTGTGAAAAAAAGACTTGAATGATAGGAATAAGAAATATGTGAACTGAATTACCAAATTTTTAAAAGTCGAGGGATGAAATATCAAGAGAAGAATGTGATTGTAAGTAGCCAATGAAAAAATCGAAGTATAAGGACTGAAGTAAGCAGAGGTTAAAGATGGAGGACTACTTCTACAAACTTTCCATAGTAGAAATTCACTTCTGAAGTTCCAACTTCCAAGGACAAAGTTCCCGACACGAACATGGCTCCGACACCAGTCCAGTGGCAAGTGCCAACACTCATTCCTTTCTAAAGTCCTTGTCAGACCTTATTTTAGCATTCAAATGACTTGTTGACACCCTTCTTTAAAAAATAAGGTGTTGACCCTGGAAGAGCGATTTTCATCATTTTCCTGGGAAATTTTATTCTTTGCACGCGTCTCGGACTCTAAGTTCTTTTTTAATTTTTATAAATACTTGTTCAAGATCAAATTTATAAAAAAAAATGAAAATTTTGACAACCAAATTTTTAAATTTAAGTAATTCATCTTTAAATTTTAAGACAATTGAGTTAATTGATTAAAATTTTAAGTCTCATTGTTGTCTTAAAAAAAATTCTCTTTTTTTTACATTGTAAATTGTTAAAAAAAAACAAAAAAAAAGAAAATATAACTTTTAGAGACCAGTGAGAGGTCACAACGAAAAAGTTCTACAATTAAGCCGCAATTTTTATATGGGATTTCTTCAACCACTCTTAACATCACAGAACTCTTTCAAGGCCTTGGTCTCCACACAGGCTAGGTCCCCGGCTGTTGAAGAATTACAAAATTCAGCAGGTGCAGGGTTGTGCAATATGTTAGGCCAATATAGTAAAAAAAAAAAAAAAAATCAAAATATTAGTTAAGGAGTGTTTAAATTAATTATTTAAATATAATTAATCGTTAATAATTAATATTTAATAATTAATAATTGTTATTATTTATAATAAAAAAATTTAAATTTTGTGTTGATAATACTTATTAGCAAGGTTGTCAAAATCGAGATTTTATCTAAAATCGTTTTAGGTAGATAAAATCGGAATCGTAAAATCGAATCAGTAAAATCGAGATTTTACTAAATTTAATAAATAAATAATAAAAATTTATATTTCTATATTAATATAATTAAAATTTAACAATAAAAAATTAAATATAAGATTAAAATTTATAATAACTCTAATAAAAATTAAATTTTAATATTATAATAAATTCTAATATGAAAAATTAAAAATATATTTGTTTAAAAAATTATTTTTTAAATTAAAATACATTTCCTTCCTTTATTCAAAAA